TTATTAAGGGAGAAATGGGAAAGTGGGGACACTTAAATGGGGAAACCACAGTGGAAGGGTTAGATAATGCGAGAGACAAATAATGCCTACCTACTTAAAAAAAAAAACAGAGGCAACCACATTAATCAAACAACCTACTGACAAATTATACGTACAACTAGCTCAAGGAATATAATACATGCCTAGGCAAAGTTTATCTGAGAATATTTGGTCTTTGCCCAAGCTTTATCTACATGGCACATGGTAATTAAAAGTACCAGACTGGTGGAACTAACCTTCTTGGATGTCTAACAGCCATACTTTGAGGCCTATACTAATTTGTTCAGAAGGACATAAAGGAGAGTTTTTGCTCTTTGTCCTCCTAGGTCAACTAAGCTCCAGGGGACTATGAACATTTCTCAAAATGTCCTGTAACTGTGGTGTGTCACCTGTCCTCTTGATCAAGGAGGCCATTGAGACCCCACAAAATGGACTTGAACCAGTGTCCAGTCAACAAAGAGGAGGATCAACACAGATGAAACATTCCTCTGTGCTTCCAAGTGAAGCCTTCCAAAGTTGAGCAGGACCTTTGACTTATCTTCACTTAGATGGAACTGTAAAAGAAAGGAGCCAGGGGCTCCTCCCAAGCCCATGTGACTCCCGAGGAACAGATCCTCAAACGACCTTAAGAGTAAAAATAAATTGGTTTATCTGGGCCAATTTCATGGTCTTAAACACCCAAAAGGAAAGTTTAACCAAAGATTAAAGGTTTGATACAATTCTTTAAGAGTCCATGTATATAGGTAAAAGCTACATAACAAGAAACAGCGCCAAACAGAAGATACCTTCAAGTTCTTGCCAGGGTGACCCAAGAGACTCCCAGACAGTAACCCAGCATAGAACTGGGAAAATCAGCAGACCCCAAGTTTAGCTAAAGGAATATTGGCAACTGATTGCTGCTAGATGAGGAAAAGCTGATCTTCCTAAAACAAGGAACTCTAGATAGGCTGACTAGATTCAGTGAATGGACAAGCACTGGAGAACGGCTGGGGATGCTGACAACACACTGGACAGTAACAGGGATAACAGATTATATGGGCTCCAGTGTGTGTGTGTGGGGCTATGGGAGAGTGCCATTTGGGATGTGGGTATATAGAAAAATAAGATTGTTTGGGATGTTCTGTATGAAATACACACAAAAAGAGTCAACAAATTTTTTAAATGAGTTATATTTGAGGAAGAAGCATAAAAATTTGCTCCATGTTAATTAGTAGAGGTGAAACACATTACCATTGAAATCTACCCAAGGATTTTATATCCATGCTCAGATAGGAGCTCAGAAAGTAACCAACTGTGACTAGTAACAATCAGATATATAGAGATTAGAAATGCATGTGAAAACATCTATGTGTTAGTAGCATTAAAAATGAGTTTTTCTGTATGAAACAGTATATTTTATAATGAAATGGCGATCTTTTTAAAAGGTTAAAACCTCATTCAATTTTATGTCTTGCGGGTTTGATACTGAACTCAGTGTTGTATAACTGTATTAATTCAACTGTGAACCTAAAAATTTACAATTTTGAAAGTGATGCATCTTTGCTCTGGAAATTGTTATTGAATATGTTAATGCTGTAATGAAATGCTTCTTCTAATCATGTAGTTAGTAAATAAATAATTTAAAAAATAATAAATTTTAAAAAACTAATAAATGGCCATGGGCAGTAGGGGGCACTTCCTGGGTGAAGTGGTAAAATTCTAAGATATAAAGGAGGAAAGGGGAATAATAAATTAGGAAGGGTTAAAGGGGTAGGTATTGGGAGGGTAGGGCAGAGGTGGAAGTAAGTGCAGGGAGGGATAACTAACACTAAATGCCTTTAGAAAAAGCCATATGGAAAACTACCTTACAGAAGCTAAAGTGTATATATTTACATTATAAAACAAGATTAAAAGAAGTTACCTTGTAACAGGGGGACAATGTCCATACTAGATTATCATGGGCTTGCAAAATAAATGCCCAATGCCAGGAATGAACAATCGCTTTTGAAGTAGTTTTTCACTCATTTTATAGACACTCAAGCAATAGTGCCTATTTGTGATCTTAGTTACCCACAAGATCATCACAATAAAACTCTATTGCTAAAGACACTACAAACATGAACTGGAGAAGAAGTAAGGAAAAATCAAGCTGGTGGTGAATTCAAAGCCTCCTCTCTATTGTGTAGCTTTCATAGTGCTGGAAGGTGAATCCAGTCTACTTTAAGCATGGCAAGGATGTGAATAGACTTAGATGTGAAGAAGGCCATGTGCACTGGAAGGCACAGCATGAAGAAAATAACAACTAAAAAACAAAGAATTTGCAAGAATAGTTTAGGTCATCTTTTAGGGCCAGAGAAGGAACAGGAGATAACCTTTAAAGATAGCCTGATTAAGAGATTAGTTTTATTTTGCGGTCAATGGAGAGCCATCTTAAAGGTTTTTGGATATAGATTAATCTTGGTGTACTATGTTAGTTTCAAACAATTTGTATGCATAAATTCTATGTGATGTCACAGGAGGTGTTTCATTTATACAATTTAAATCCATTTCCTTCTGTCCTTGTCTCAGTAAAGGTAATTTGCTGCTCAAATCAAACATGTCAATATCCCTATGCTTACAGAACATTCCTATTCAATTCCATGCAGCAGCATTGAAAAACTGTCAGAAGTGTTGTAAAGAACTACACTATGGTGGTAAGACAAACGACAAACACATAATGTAAGGCAAAATAGCAGAACTAAATACTAATATTTAACCTCTTTCAGGTATTGTTTTCCTTCTGTTTATGATATAATATCAGTATGCCAGGTGTTAATCAGAATGAACTAATTACAATTATTCCATTATAAAGGAAATAGAAGATCTTCTCAGACATGTACTGAGCATTCAATCAAGCCAAACATTATCTTAGGCAATATCTGTATGTGATAAAAGAACACCATTTCTTGGTCACATACCAGTAAACAAAGCTCCCTTCCTTCTTTACTTCCCTATTAACCTCATTTTCTGAGTCAATACAAAATTTCTGTACGTGGTACTGCTTTCTCCTTAGGAACAGGAACTAGAAGAGGTATTATTTTAATTATAAAATATCTCAACTACCATAGGAATCAGAATAGCTATATATCAAAGACTACCGGGGGTGGGGGTGGGGTTCCCGGGTGATTGGCACCCAAAATCACAAAAGGAATGATGTAACATGTTTGATGAGAGTAACACTTTAAAGCCCACTAAGTGTGAGTTACAAAAATGGCTTTATTTGCCTCCAGTTTTACCATACTATCTGTTGAGCAGCCCTGTCTTTTATGCAAGCAGTTACAATTAGACCTGTCATGACATACATTAGCCAGGAATGGATGGTATCAAACTATAGAGTATTTTTTTCTCAGTGGGATAGATTATTTCCAGGAAATAAATATTTCAAGTGGCTAGAGAGATGGCTTGGCAGTTAAGAGCATTAGCTGTTCTTTCCATAGGACTTGGGTTCAGTTCCCAGTAGCCATATGGCAGCAAACAAGTGTCCTAACTCCAGTTCCATGGGATCTGACTCCCTCTTCTCACCTCTGCAGTCACTGCAGAACAGAGACACACATACATACATGCAAGAAATACTCTCATACACATAAAATAAAAATAGTAAATAAGATATATTATAAAATATAAAATAGTTGTTTCAATAGCAATTATATTTATGAGTTTCTGAACAATCACAATAAAATATAGCCCAGTTTTTTAAATCTCAAATCGACATCCCCTGACACCAAAAACAAAGAAAAAAACAGTCATTTCCCAGAGAGACTTCTATTTAACCCAAAGTTTGTATTTCATCAGTATTCTTAAAATCAGCTGATTGTGTCAAGAGGGTCTTTAAAAATCTTTAATATTTAGTTGCCTAATGTAACTGAAGAAACACCATGAGTCAGTGCAGCAAATTCTAAAATGATTGTTCCATGACATATGGAATAGAAAATATGAACACAACCAATTCCTCTAAGACTCGTTACACTAGTCATAAATGCATCCTCTTTAACTTTAAGAAAGCAAATCAAAACATAGGAGCCTGGTTTTTCTTTAATCCCATCAGGTGTCCATTGTTGATCTTTCTTCTACAACCTCATTTCAAAATAGGTCAACTTTGATAGTCTCTCCTGGGACTATCTCCTCTTATTCTTTTCTATCAGGCTTACCTAGGTAGCTAAAGAATAGTTTATTTTATATATAGATATAAGCCTAAATTATTTTCAAGGAAAAACTCTCTTACAATTCATCTAAACCATTTTTATGCCCCATCTCCTATCTGCATCCCTTCACGGCCCACCCACAAGGTTTCATGCATTTTGTCATATATGTCAAGACCCATCAACTCAGGTTTCTGTACCCAGATGTCCCTCGGTCAGTCCCTCCCTTAAAAAAGCATCACTCCCTTAAAAAAGATCAACTCTCCTTCACTCAGCAATGATCAACTGCCAGCTGTTCCTCAGCTAAGGTTGGGGCCTCCTGCCCATTTCCCCAGTTCTATGATGGATTTTTATCTGATTGAGCTTGCATGGGTCTTGTTTATTATATCACCATTTCTTTAAGTTCATATGAGCAAGTTCACAGAAGCCTGGAATATTCTATTTCTTTATGGTCCTGTATCAATCCTGGCTCTTACAATCTTTTCATCCCCTCTTCCACAATGGTCCTTGAGCCATGGGTGGGTGAGGTTTAATATAGGAGTCTTATCCAGGGACACTCACTCTGCAGTCTCTTATTTTCTCCACTTTGATCTGCTGTGGCCTTCTGCATGCATCACCCTCTGTAGCATGAGGAAGCTTCTCTGGTGAGAGTTGGGAGATGGATTAGTATTTTCTCTACCTCCTGTTCCACTATCTTCTGTGAACCTTAGGTATAGAGATTTCATTATTGATGTGTCATTTAGGGATGGGCATCTCTCAGACACTTATTCTCTGTGTGTGATCCATTGTAGAACTCTCTTTTTTTCCACTTACACTGTATCCTCTCCCTCTACTCTCCCAAAAGAAAGAAGAACGATCACCAATGGAAAATGGCAGTTGCTGTGAAGCAACACCAATAGCCAACTTCATGCTCAGGAGAGAACAATATGTCCCCTCCTCATTGTTTCCGGTACTCTACACAGTCAGAGAAACTTCCCTAGTAACAAATTATAGATATGATCCCTGAAAGTGTAGTCTTTGAAGAACTCCATCTGTTGTAATAAAATAAAATAAAATGTTTCTTTGATGAGTGTTTACTGCTGCACTTGTCTATAGATATAAGGATCTGTATTTAGCATACAGTAAGAAATTATGTTTGACTAGTGATATGATAAATGTAGGGTTTTCCCTAAGAACTATGACTGCTCCAATCATATGTATTTGGCTGTTTTTACAGTGTCATACATGAATTCCCTCCCACTGAGTGGGCACTAAGTCCAATTAGATAGCTGTTGATTACCCCTCTAGATAAAAGTGTCACTACTGCACCAATGTCGTTTTCTGTGCTGGTAATTTTTGTGTTTACTAGGCTTTAAAGCTGGGGTAAGACCACTGACTGATTTTCTCCCTTAGAAAATTGCATAGTATCTTCCTAAACTATGAGAGCTAGTCTTTAGAGAGGGTCTTCTATTCTCTAAAAATACATCTGTTTCACTGTCTTTCATATTTCAAGAGTATTTTAAATTTAATTTTTCTGCATAGTATTACCAGGTGATCTTCATGAAGATATCTAGCATTCACTCACTTTTGTGAGCTGTAATTACTAGCACCAGCTATAAAATCTCCTTCTTCCACAATATCTGTAGACAACCTATCCTAAAGTCCTGCCTATTTTCCAGGTAAATACTTTTGTATCCTCTCTGAATTTCTTCCTTTCTACGGGCATTCCTGCTCGTCTCAGCCTTTATTATACTTCTACTTGTTTAAACACTAGACATAGAACATAAAGAAAGTGTCATGGGACTTGAGAATTGCTGGCAGTTCTCACGCCACTGTAGAGTAGTCAAATAAGATGACCATGACAAGAAGTCAGTTTCTAGAAGTACAGACAAAAAGGGATGCATAGTAGTTGCTTCTCTGTTACTGTGTTAAACACAATGACCAATGCAATTTATAGAAGGACAAGTTTATTGGGCTTACAATTACAGAGGGATAAAAGTCCATTGTGGCAGGGAGGCATGACATGAGGCAGCTGAAGCAGAAAGCTGAGATTTCACATCTTCAAGCAGATACGGGAAGCAGAGAAGAAAAAATGAAATGGGACAGGACTTAAGAACTCTCAAAGCCCACCTGCATGGACATGCTTCCTCCAGCAAGGCCATACCTCCTAAGCATCCACATACAGCATCACCAACTGGAGCCAAGTATTCAAATACTTGGAGATTATGGGGGGACATTCTCAATCAAACCATCACAAAAGAACATCTGAAAGTATAATATAAAAGGTATGTGTTTCACTGTGGAGTAGAATAATATAAAAGGTGTATGTTTCACTGTGGAGTAGAATAATATAAAAGGTATATGTTTCACTGTGGAGTAGAATAATATAAAAGATATATGTTTCACTGTGGAGTAGTCTAGGGTCACACATGATGAGAAAACATTAATAAAGATAGGAATGCTTAGGATTCAGGAACTGAAAAGTTTGAATTCATTTTCTAGAGAGAAGTTAGATTGTACTTATGATCATGAAGGTCCTGAACCTGCCATTTAGGATGAACCTAAGTCATCATAAAGACTCAGTGTATTAATATGGTACCTGTTGTAATTTGTTTTCTGCAAAGGTCTACTGTAGCTCCTGGTTTGATTCTACCATGAATACTAAACTCACATGTTTTGTAGAAACACATAACAGATAATGCAGACATATATATGAAGACAGAAAGGAAGGCATTAGAAGTGCTGTGCTGGCAAAGAAGGAAAAATAAGATACTATTAAGCAGTGACGAAACTTTTACCTGTTGGTACCACAGTTGTTTTGCAAAAATCACCAAATGTCATCATACATTATTCTCTCCAACTCATTTATTTATTTATCTTTAATATTTGTATGAATTCTTTGAGAATTTCATACTGTGTATTTTGAGCATATTCAGAGAACTTCTCTATCTCCACACCCACCTTATTACTCCCCCATGACTTCATGTCTGCTATTATCTTTTTAACATCCATCAAGTCTAATTTGTGTCCCCAAATGCATTTGGTGTATGGATCTATGCCCCCAGAATTGGGTCAACATACACAATGGCACACACTTAAAGAAAACAGACTCTTCCTCTCCCAGTATCAGTTGCCAATATTTCCTCATCTAGGATTGTGGCATCTTCTCCATCTGCCCAGCTCCCTATATGTGTGCTCTCTCTCTCTCGCTCTCTCTCTCTCTCTCTCTCTCTCTCTCTCTCTCTCTCTCTCTCTCTCACACACACACACACAAGTGCTGGGGTTTTGTCTAGCTTGGGCTTGAAAGAGTGTTTTGCATGCTGTCAAAATTGCTGTGAGTTCATATGGCAATTTACCTGCTGTCCAGAAAACATTGTTTCCTTGCTGTCATCCACCACCTCTGACTCTTAGAATTATTCTACCTCTCTTCTTCAATGATTCCTGAGCCTTCAGAATAAAGTGTGATATAGTTGTCACATTTAGAGCTAAGCACACTCAGTCACTTATTCTCTATGTGTTAACCAGTTGTGGGTCTCTGAGTTAAATGCCATCTGTTGCAAGAAACTTCTCTGATGAGAGCTGAGAGATGCACTAATCTACGGGTATAACAGTAAGTCATTAGGAGTCAGTTTAATACTATGTTAATTTAGCCAAATAATAGTAGTAGGTCTACAGTCTGTGATATGTCTATCCACAGCTTCTTGGCATAAGTAACAGTTCCATATATAGGCTCCATCTTGTAAAGTAGACCTTAATTTCATGCAAAAGTAGTTGGTTACTCTCATACTATTTGTGCCACTATTGCACTATTGGGCATAAATTGTGTAGTCAGTCATTATTGTAGCTAAATGGGTTCATAGCTGGGTATGGGTGATGATTATTTTTTTCTTTTAGTAGCATGCATAGCACATTCCAGCACTAAGAAAACTAGTTACTAGAAATGAAGCTTCTAGGTCATTACCAGCTTGATTTCTCTTTGTTTTAAGACTCAAGTATGTATTATCTTCATCAAATACGGTCTTGCCAGTGAGTTCTGGTGGGTAGCCAATAGCAATGACAATAGCCAGTATTGTCTGAGGGTTTATAGGACCCTCCTGGTTAATGACTCCAAAAGAGGAAGTCCATTCTTGGCACTGGACTTTTTATTTGCTAATCAGTGTTGTCTGCTACAGCCATTAAAACCCCATTATAGGGTAACTCCATTTAAATTGTTTTATATAAAATATTATGTGTTATATATAAATGTTAGCTAGTATTGTTTAATGGTCTGTGGAATTCCTCCCCTGGTCAACCACCCTAATGGAGGGAAATCCATTACTGGCATTGTGCTTTTTATTTACCAGCCTGTGGTATCTGCTAAGGGCATTGTCCCTCCATTATAGGGAAATTCCATTTAAATTAGTTTTATATTGTAGAAGTATATGTTTTTAAATGACTTCAGTAGTAGTAGGTTTCCATATGACTTTTTCAAAAGGCCTTTAGTATTAGCAATCTCTCCCATGCTTCCTCCTCCATCCTACAATCTCTCACCCCATTTAACTCTTCTATTCCCTTATTATCTTTTCCCCATTTATATCACTGCCTTCTATCTCCCCTCCTTTGAAATTCCCCCATAGCCCAGTACTAGTTTCCTCACCTCTATGGATTTTCTGCTTGAAACCCATATATATTCAAAGCTAACATCTACTTATGAGAAAGAACTTGGACATTTGTTTATCTGGGTCTGGGTTACATCATTCAAGATGATTATTTCCAGTTCCATCCATTTGCCTAGAAATTTCAAATTTTTAGTTTGCTTTTTAAATTATTTTTATTGAATTTTTGAAATTTCCATACAATATAATTTGGTGGTATTTAGGTCCCCTCCTCATACCTACCTCCACTTATTGGCCCCTGCCCAATTAAATGTTTCCTCTCTAGATAAATAAATAGATATATTCTAATTTGTGTCCTCAAATGTCCTTCAGTGTGGGTCCATCCTCTGGATCCTGGTTAACCTACAAGGAATTCAGTGCTTGAAAGAGTCTGGGTCTCCCCTTCCTCTTGAACACTGAATAATATCCCATTTGGTAATATTATGCAGGTATACCAAACCTGGGCTGTTCATTCATTAGTTAGTGGGCATCTGTGTTGCTCCATTTTCTGACTATTCTGAAGAGAGCAGCAACGAACATGGATGAACAGGTAGTAGGATATAGAGTCTTTTGCTATATACGACCAAGAGTGACATGGCTGGATCATATGTACATCTATTTCTAGCTTTTTGACCTTATTCCATGGAAATACTAGTGTGCTGCATTTCCTTCCATCATCACCTCCTTTATTGCCTTCTTTTTGTACCATCTCTTTATTGAGTATTTTCTTGTACATGCTAGGCAAGCACTCTGCCACAGAGATAAGCTCTCAGTCCCATTTCTTTGGTATTATTGAAACTTTCTGGGCTTTCTCTAACATTAAGGATTTGCTTTGCCTCTCCCTGGACCTCTATTCTTGCAGATATTCTCATATCCTTCAGGTCACAGCTCAGATAATATTTGATCACGGGTCTTCCTTGACATTCTCTACCTGTTGGAAGCACGCCTTTAAAATATAAACTCTACCAGAAGAAATTCTTCCTCATTGTGTTTCCCTGTGGTACCCACAAGATTTTAGAACAATGTTAGACTTTTATTAGGTATTCAGTAAAAACTGTACACCCCAAAAATCTAATCAATACTCTGATATAATGTAGCTATGCAATGCTCTAATGAGAATTCTAGCATAAAATACACAAAATACATTATCTTTATGAAACATAGCACTATGTGGCAATGACTATATGGCAAAAAATAAGTCGAAAAATGATAATTCTTCCTATTAATTAATAACAAATGCTAACAATGACAGCCTTACGTGCTTAAGCAGCATCAGTCTGGTAGGATACACTCCAGGAACTATGACAATTTCTGCCAACACCCACTCAGATTTCCCTTTGCCCCATCCATCTGTTCAGTGTATCTATTCATGTATTTGGCTGGTGGCTTTGCTTTCAGTTCTATC